GTGTGAGTAGAACATTAAACGTTCTTACAAACTTAAAATCTATTTATGTTCTGTATTTGATCACAGAGAACCAACAGATATTTAAAAGTAAACTAATATAATAAGCTGAGAGCACTAACTGAATATAATATTGACTTAAGCTTTATCCTTCACATCAAAATATAAACTTAGGTGATCTGTTAATGGAAAACATAACAGTTTTCTGCAGGTATAATGTTAAATTCTAAGTGGCTTTAACGTGTTCTGGCATGTGTTTTCATGATCCATTATTGTACCTCTCAGGAAGTTGACATCATTCAGTCTTATTGTTCACTTGGGGTTTAGATTAATTTCATTTTTGTAGCCTATTTTGGGTTTATGTATTTTTGCAGCTCATTTAATCAAACCAGTTTTTCTTGAAGGAAACTATATTGAAAAATGCACACTCACAAACAGTGTAAAATTTACATAGATAATAAGATTAATATTAGAATTTATAGTGTACTATTTAATAGTAGATATTTTATTTTAAAGAGAATAAACTTAGCAAAAAACATTAGAAATGATACAGAATTTCAATAAACAAAATGATAGAAATTAATCAGTAGTTGTTATATTGTATATTGTCTTCAAATTAGTTGCTCAAATTACCAGATACAGACATGCAAAATTGGTCAAAAAAATTAAAAAGAAGAAAAAAATTAAAGTATTAACTGTTCCTTTCAATAGTCCAGTAGAAATCAATAGTACAATTATCCAAACTATCTTGTGTATATAATATACATTTTACCCCTTCCTTTTTTCTTTTCTTACTCCTTTTCTTCATCTCAGTTGGTCCTTCTTTAGGAAAAGATTCTTTCCCTTTCATGGTATCCATTATACCTTTCAGATTTTATTTAACTTTTCAGATTCTTATACTAGGGAGACCATATTATCTTTACACATGTGGGTCCAGTTCATTTTGCTTATGAGTATGATCTCTAGTTCCATTCATTTACCAACAGCCATCTTTCTATAGCTGAATAATGCTCTATTTCTTATATTCTGTTTCTGTTCTTCTTATATAAAAATGCCACATCTTTTTTATCCATTCCTTAGTTGATATGCATTTGGGTTGTTTCCAATTTATAGCTATGACAAATTATGCTGCTATAAACATGAGTGTACATCTATTGTTGTGGTCTAATGTTTTCAGTTCTAGAAAAATATACAGAAGAGGAATAGCTGCATTGAATGGGACCTCTAATCCTAGTTTTCTGAGGTGTATCCACACTGATTTCCATAGTGATTGTACCAGTTTACACTCCTACCAACAGTGGAGAAGAGTTTTTTTTCCCCTCCCCGCATTCCTTCCAGCATTTGTTATTGGCTGACTTTTTGATGATAGCCATTCTTTTTGGATTGAGATGGCACCTCAGTTTTGTTTTAATTGGCATTTCTTGAATGACCAATGATGTTGAACTTTTTTTATATATTTATTTTCCATTTGTATTGTTTCATCTGAGAATTATAGATTCATCTCAGATGCCCATTTTTGGGTTGGGTCTTTGAATTTGGGTGGCCTGATTTTTAAAATTATTTATATGTTCCAGAAAGAAGTCTTTTGTCTGAGGGACAGTCAGCTAAATTTTTTTCTCAGTTTGTGGGTTTTCTTTGTACTCTCTTGGTGATATCTTTTATTTATTTATTTATCTATTTATTTATTTGGCACAGGGTCTCTCTGTGCAGCTCAAACTTGTAGTGATCCTCCTGTCTCAGCCTCGCCAGGGCTGAGATTATTGGTGTGTACCAACATGCCCAGGATTCTTGGGCTGGCATGCATGTGGTACTGGGGAGCGAACTCAGGTCCTTGAACTTGCTAGGCAGGTGCTTAGATCACAGAGCTATCTCTCCAATCCCTTGGTGATTTCTTTTGAGGTACAGAACTTTTCTATAAGATGAAATCTTAGTTGTTGATGCTTTTAAGTATTTTCTATGCAGTTTAGTTTGGTTTTTGTTAATGAACTCTCTCCCTAACCCTATATCTTCAAGATTTTTACCTACTTTTCCTGCAGTAGATTTAGTGTTTCTATTTTAATATTTAAATCTTTGATCCATTTTGACTTTAGTGCATGGTGAGAAACATAGGTCTAATTTTAGCCTTCAGCATGTGGAAAACCAGTTTTTCTAGCACCATTTATTAAATAGATCATATTTCTTCCAGTGAACATGTTTGACCTCTTTATCAAAGATAAGGTGGCTGAGTTTGTATATACTTTGGTCCATATCTTTTAGTTGGTTCCATTGGTCTACAATGTTTTGGTTTTGTAACAATACCATGATGATTTTATCACAGTAGCTTTGTAGCATAATTTCAGGTCATGAATTTTCCTGCCTCTTGCCTTTCCTTTGTTGTCTGGGATTCCTTTTTCTTTTTAATTTTATTTATGTGTGTGTGAGTGTGTGTGTGTGTGTGTGTGTGTGGCCAGCTCAGCCCACCAGGGGGCGGGGCTGGGTGCTGGGGGATTGAACCGCGGTCCCTGTGCTTTGCTAAGCTTGTTCTAAGTAGGTGCTTTAGACCACTGAGCCATCTCACCAGCCCATGGGATTCCTTTTTCTATTCTTCTGTTTCCAGACAAATTTTAGGAATATTTCCTCTATATCTGTGAGGTATAGTAATGGTAATTTTAATTGGGATTACATTGCATTTATGTAACAATTGTAAAAGTATGGTCATTCTCACAATGTTGATTGTTCCTATTCATGAGCAAGGAATATCTTTACATTAGCTGAAGTGCTCTTCAGAGTACTGTAATTTCCACTGTGTAGATCTTTCACCTCCTTTTTTAGATGTATTCCTAAGTTTGTCGTTGTTTGTTGTTGTTGTTGTTGTTGTTGTTGTTGTTGTTGTTGTTACTGTGGAAAGCATGGTTTCCCTAATTTGTTTCTCAGTGTTTTGGTTGTTTGTAAACAGAAATGCTATGTGACCTACAGTTATTTGAGTTATGACCTAGAAAGGGCAGCTCTGATTTAAAAAATTCAGATTTTAAATATTTTAAGCAATGTAGGAAAAAGCTCTTTTACATTTTGCCTTTGGCTTCTGTTTATATTTTCCAAATGTTGAACAATCTGCCTTTAAAGAGAAAATTCCAGCTACCGCAGATTTGGATATGGAGAGATTTTCAAGTAACTAGAAAGAAGAATCAGTATTAAGCAGGAGTACTAGACATCCAGCTGTAAGTTTTATATAAAGTTCAAAAACCCCACACCCTAATAAAATTCAGAATATCAGTCAGTGTGCCAGAGTCAAAACCACAGTGACAGTGACAGTGATGCAGAGAGAGGCAAGTCAGTTAGCTTTCTGGTTTGGGGATGAATTAAAGAGCTTCTACTGGTTACCTTAAAAAGTAGGGTTGGACTAAAACTGAGACAGAACTTTTTCCTTACGTCTATCTGTCTTGACCTCCATTGGAGATATAACAAGCAGGAAAATAATCAGAGACAGCTGCTAACCAGTCTGGCTAAAGTTTGCTCATATAAATTAAATGTTGAAGATGTGGTAAAATTGGTAGTAGCTGTGTGACCATTAAATTGGATTGTCCACCTGATCAGCTCAATACTTGCCTAAGTGGTCAGTAAAGCAGGCTCCCAGGTGTGTGTGGATGGGTCATGGAGATTGAGTCTTGACTAATATGTGTGCCGCTGGCTTCTTCCTCTCTGGTGCTGCTCTGCTTTCCAGCGGCCATGACCCAAGCAGCTTTGCTTCACCACTCCTTTCTGATGCTTCTGTTTTGGACCCACCTGACGATGGACTAAAATCTCTAAAACTGTGAATGAAATCACACCGTTCATCCTGTAAATTGTGGGAGTCAAGCATTTTGTCCTAGAATTTGGAAAGCTGACCAGACCCCTATTTTCATTTTGGTGCCAAGAGTTTCATATTAAGATCATATGCCACATATTGATTTTTTTACCACATATTATTATTATGAGGCTTTATCTGGGTTAGGCATTACAGAAGTGGGAAGAATATTGAGCCTATTTCCACTACTTGCCTCAAATAAATGTTCTAATTTTAAAATTTAATGAACATACAAAGAAACTGAATCTCCTTTTTTCTGCATGAAATTTATGTGTACACTATTCTCTGTGTTTGTAGACTATAAAAAGTGCTATAAGATACTGTATTTGGCTATTGGTAGGTTTTTTTTTTTTGGTTGTAGCATCTGTTCAGAATGTCAGTGTACAAATTTAGAAAACTATAAATATAACCGTCTCGTCATCTTTTCACCAACTGATTTGCTTTAGATTTCCAAAGTAAAGCTACACTAGTTGGAGGAGCTTTCCATGTGAAATATATAAAGGTATGTATGAAACTCATCTAATCTTTTTGTCTCAAAGATGACATTTAAATAAAATATGAAGCTAGATTATATAATACCACTATTCATATTACATAAAGCTTTTCATGTTAAGAAAACTTAGTGAATTCTCCAGTGAAATTATTCTCCATGCCTTACAATAACAATTTTATGGACTGAGAAGTTATACTATTAAATTTTAAGTTCTCTAAATTATAAGGTGTTAAAAGATTTATTACTCAGTTCTGATTTTAGTTTAAATAATTCATAGCTACTTTCATGCACATTGCTAATGAAAAATCTTGATTTATTAAATCAGATATATGAATTGCTGCATCTAATTTTAGAAAAGCTTTCTGTATTTTGACAGAACTGAACGAATTTGATATATTTAACAATTGTTCCTTGAGCATTTCTGATTAATGAGGCTCTTAACATTAAGGCTGCTTATGTAATTTCATTTGGAATTCATTATAGGTAGTATCGTGTGATTATAATTATATGGATTGCTCCTAGTTGATTATTTTTTTAAATAAAAAGGTTGTCAGAAAAAGACTGCAGTGCTAAGTTTAATGGTATTTCTTTAATTGAAAGTCTCCATTCTATTTTTTAATTTTTATCGAAAGGCCCAGATAGCACCCTTGCCCTCGCTGCTTGTCTCATAGCTTTCTTCAACTGCTGTTTCTGCACTAAGTCAAGGCACACATTTCTCTTCACTACTGGAAATGGGTACAAACTTTGCAGAGTGTGTAGAACTAAAAAAGTAAGTCCTTTTTTTCTAACTTACACAGGAGCCCTGAGGCAGCATCCTGAGCAAATAAGGAAAAAAAAAAAGTTCAAAACACTTATTCCATATTTCTAAATAGGACTAGGAAATAGATTAGTGTACTTTGTTTTATTTTATGGAGCAGAAAGGTTGATAATAAACTTTAAATCTCTTGAAAAATAAAACTCAAACAGCATTATTATTATAACCAGCTGTTTCCTTTAAGGGAAAACTTCACATATGTGTACCAAAATTTTAAACTTTTCTCTAGAACTATTAAATATGTAAAACTATCCAAAATAGTTGGTAATATTTTAGAATGTTAGCTCTTCCAGATTAAAGCCCTTTTAGTTAGTGTTGCCATCTGAAGATGTGAAAACTTCAGAAAAAGTAGTTGAAGATAGCACATTTTGTTAATGAACTGCTAGCTTGTATTTTCATATCCTTCCGCAGTACTTAATTTATCTTTTTAAATAAGTCCTTGTTCTGGGTCCGGATTATAGCCATAATCACACTATCAGTTAATCTATATAACTGTCTCAAAAATATACTGACGTATGAGCTTAGTAAAAAATGTTATTGTTTTGTCTCAGGATGTCAAACTTGGGGCAACTTGACAGTGACTTCTACCAGTCTAATTACACTATTGATGATCAGGAGCAGAGCTATAATGATGCTGGTGCCTATGGAAATCTTTACGGAGCTGGGGAGTAAGTATTATTATATATTGAGCACATATGCTTTAATTTGGGGGATGTTAATATTATTGGAAGGGATTCCAGGTAAAGAGGAATCCTTGAGAGAAGACTGTTCTCTGTAGTATACTTCTGAAATATGTGTCAGTGAAGTCCCTCCAAAAGTTACAAGGGGAGAGAAATTAATCCAGTTCTAAATAAATGTCCTTTATAACTTGAGGACCATTGCCAAGTTAATGTCTTATCTACTTTTCAGAATAGCACTGGACAGGGACTCCAAATACAAGTGCTAGAAAACATAAAACAGTTTCTTTGTACCTAAGGTTTTTTTCCAAGACAGTGCTTGAGAGCCAGATTTCATCAAATTTAATATACATTTATTGAGCATCTGTTTTGAGTCACGAATTACGGACAGTTCAAATCCAAAGCTAAGGATGAAATCCAGTCTTCTCATCACAAAACTTAAGACTATATTTTGGGGAATTTTAAAATTAAATATACATCTAGAACATACAGGCAGTATGAAAAGTATTAGGCTGGAAGCAACACAAGATAGATTTCAAAACACACCAGCTGTTTTCAGTGGAAGTTCAACTTGAATATAAATGAAATAATTAAAGAATTTAACACATGTCTATTTAGTATTTGGTATAATGTGTTTAAGGTGAGGATACTGGTTAAAGTTCTGGCTTTTGTATTGGTTGTCTTTGTGACACTGGGAAAGCTAATTCTATGCCTCCATCTAAAACAGTCATACTAAGAATACACAGTTCATGGCATTATCATAAAGAATAATTGGGGCAATATGTAAGAGAGTGCAACAAATAAATCCATGATTTAAATGTCATGAATATGAATTTAAAGATTAATTGACGCTTCCTTGTCCACAGTTGCTTCACCTTACTGTGCCTGGCTACACAATTGCTTTTCTGCCTACTCTTTTGTGGATCAAAGTACTGGATTAGGAGAAGGGTCAGAAGAAGTCTCATAGTAACCAATACTTCCTGATCTCTTCTTACATATTAGCAAAACTGTTTGAGCTATATAAATTAAATCACTGGGTCCACCAACAACCTTATGACATAAGTCCTGCTCTCATTCTCATGTTGCATCTGAGAAGCCAGCCACAGAGAATTAAGAAACATTCTAAGATCGATAAATAAGAAATGGTTTTAGCCTTCTAGTCTAAAATTCCTTGAATAAGCCCTTAATGAAGATGAGTATATGATTTATTGTAACATAAAGACATTTTCGTATAAAATATGTATTATTGACAATAATGTTGGTGTAGTAGGAATAGGTTGGACCATCTTAGGTAAATTAGGATGTCTAGTTTCTGTACCACTTTAAAAGGCCTATGCCAAATATGCTATAAGCTCTGAACTTATAGCATATTTCAAATGTATTAGTTCTTGAAGGTTATTATTAAACATAGAAAAATTACCTTCAGAGCTCTAGGTGGAGAGAGTAACAAATAAAAGATACAGTGGTAGAGGGGATCATGCTTTACCCTGCACAGAGAAATGCAGACTTGCTTTCACTATCTGGTTCTTCTTAGAAGCAGGTGGAGGCTGTTTTCACAAGTTTCTCTTAATGAACAAGACATCCAAAGGGTAGGGAAAAGGTATGAGTGCATAATCTAAGTACAAATAGTAAGGCTAAATATCTTGAATTTTAACTCATTCACATCCTTACTATGTTCCTGTTGTATCAAATCCTGTCAATGAGGTTCCCATTTACAACCTACACTTTGGAAGATAAAGAAATAAGGGAAATATGCTTGAGGTAAAGTGAATAGTGTGAACATTATCTTCTAGGATTGTCAATCTAAGTGTATAGTTAAAATGGAAAATATTTAATAGGCTATTTCATGTCTGTTCTCCTGTTTTATAAAAAAGAACTAGTCACCTTGACACATCTATTTACTTTATTAATTCTCTTTTCCAGATGGGATAAGTACTTCAGTACTACCTACATTTTCAGACTAAAGTAAACAAAATATTCAACAAGACAAAGACAAAGCTTTTTCCTTAAGCAAGGACTCAGGGATGAAAGCTTCCTTCTCCCAGCCACTCAATCCAATTTTCACTTATTTTTTGACTATTCATAGCATCCATTCCTCAAAATCAAGATGATAAAAGATAGAAGAAAACCAAATAAAGGAAGCTCATGTTACACTGTCAAAGGAGAATGGCCTAGCCTGTCCCAAACATTGATTTGGATGTAGTGACCAATTCCATACCACATTGCAAGCCTCCAAAAGTAGGAAAGCCTATTGCTGTAGTAGCTTCATACGGTACATAAAAATGAGGTCAGGTCAGTGATTTTCTTATGTACATCAAAGGAACTCCAAACATCTTGTGTCTTATGCATATCATGAATAGGTCAGTTAAAGTGCATCCCAAATCAAACTAAGATTTCAGTCATCCAGGAAAAATCATTAAGAATCCTGTGGATGACTATACTGGCAAAAGATACAGTAATATGGGAATCATGAGAACATTTATAACTAATTAATCAGTTTCTGATTCTCCCTCACCCCCCTCCTCTTCAACCTCTTCTTCTCCTCTTCCCCTCTCATTTTCAAACTGAAGGGTACCACTCTGACAGAAATTAATAACAAATGTCTTTTACTGCAATATAATTTTTATTTAAGTATTCACTGTAGTTTTAGATCACCCCTCACAATAAGGAACTCCTTGTCTTTGTCATTCCTTGTGATGCTGTTTATTATAAAAGGATAATACCAAAACATATGGGACTGGTAGAGAAAGGTGCTTAGAACTATGCTTGTTCAAAGCAGTTTCAGAGAGAAGATCTAAAATATGAGAATTATAAGTATTTGGAGAGTTTTCCAGGTGGGAGTATAGCCTATTAATGAGATTACTTTGTATTGCTTGGGTGTTATTCATTGAGATGTAATATTATAGCCAGTGCATACAAAGTTGAAGTCGTAAGATATAGAGAAATTTAGATAATTATGAAAGTCAAGAATAATAAATAAAAGATTTTTAAGCTTTCTTTTTAGAGAAATCTTAAAAATTTTCTTTTTTAAGTGGTGAAGAAATTATAATTATGTTCTTATAATAAGACAATATAAACCATGTTCTTGTTGGAGAAGTTTTACTAGATGAAAGAACAAAGTAATAGGGGGAAAAATAGGTGACAGGATTTGGCTGGTGATGGGCGTATATGTATTTTTAATGCATTTTTCTCTTGGGACGTGAGACTGGCAGAGTACCCGTATGAAGTCTTCTAATTTATAGAAGTTGCTTTGCAAGCAGTAATTATGACAGTTCTACTTCTTCAAGCCTGGTTAGCTGCACCTGTGTAAGATTTATGATGATACTGCACAAGTACATCAATGACAGCCTCATTTAGCCACTGGTCCGTTGAGTCATCTTTAATTGCCTCTTATTTTTCTATAAAGATATGTATTTAAAAGAACATACCAGGAGAATTTTGCCAAGAAGAAGGCATTTAGGTTCTTATAATTCATTTCTACTGTTTCTTTTGATGTTGTGCTTTTTCTGCTGAAGAAACAAGATTGTGATCATGACACAAGACTAAATGAACAACTGCAGTATGTTCTGGAAGGTCCAAGAAGCACACCTGGTTGCAACCCTTAGCGAACTATCATTCAGTTAGTAATGATTAAGTGTGTATATCCCTGCCTATCTCTGTGGATTATTTACCAAAATAAGTTATTTTCTTGGCAGGTTTACAGACATATAAATTTGAATAAGTTATGCTTAGACCTCATATTATGACTAATGTCAAAAGGATAACATTAAAAACCACTTTTAAAATATATTAACATAAGGGAACAAGGAAAGGACTTCCCTTATTCACAGTGCTGGACTGCATATTTAGTTTAGGTTAAAGGCCGTTCATAGGAAAACAATCTTAAACCAGTTAAGAGGCTGTTTTTTGTTTCTTCTCCTTTCTTTAAGTAAAAGTTTATATTGTGCACAAATAACCCACACACTGTCCTTTCCATTCTTCCTTTCTCTACCACTAGCAGCATGTAATTTACAGAGATCAATACTTTTCAAAATTTTCACACAAATGACAAAACCAACAGCAAACACAGTCAAAGAGGTATTGAAATATCATGTTTTAGCAAAACTAATTACACATTTCAGAAGAGAGATTTAGGAGCTGGCAATGCAGTACATTCTACGAGATACTCAAGGATAACTCATTTGTACTAATTGGGAATAGCCAGAAACAGACAGTGCATTTCTTTATAGACTGTGTTAAATTTATGCACATACTTTTTTCTTTGAGTTGACTACACTAGTAAAATTATTTTAGTTGCTGTTTCTAGAAGGCCATGGAGGACACACTGGTGACAGCCTATGAGCATCATGGCGGAGCTGCAATGTGTAGACAACAGCAGGCTGCTGGAAGACCCGCGGTTCAGTTGCCGCTCCTGCTCAGATGTGGTGTGACACTGACCGAGCCATTTAGTGCCCATGAGCCACTGTTTCTTTTCTTGTGAAGTCGAATTAAAAACACAGCTTTGCCCTTAAAGAGCTTTAATTTGAAAATATGAGGGTAGTGCCCAGTGTCATTGTGCAGGCTCAGCTCTATTGGTTGGGTTAGTGTTCTTCTGTAAGCTTTGTCATAACCAGTTATTTTGTTCTTTTGGATTACAGCTAAATTTGAAGTAGGCTATTTCTTGCCTCCATAAATATATGTAAAACCTAAGTGAAATCTTATAATAAGGAAAGTGGCAGCTTTCTCTCGCAGTTTGTCCAGATATCTCTTTATTCAGTGTGTAAATATCACCGTTTTTCACTTTCTAGACAACAAACTGGGGGGCGACTCCCGTCCACCTCTCCTGCTCCTGCGCAGATGCTCACGTCACTGAGTTATCCAGGACAACTTTTTCAGCCGGCATCCAACTCGAATTATTACTCACAATCACCTTACATTGACAGCTTTGACGAAGAGCCTCCTTTGCTAGAAGATAAGTGAAGGAAGGGTTATTAATGTGTGTATAGGTGGAAGAATACTAGCAATAATCAACACTTAACGTGTGCTGGCAGCTTGCCCTGTGCAGTGTTTCATGTGTGATTGTTCCACAACAAGACACGCAAACCATTGCAAGTTTGTTACATGTTATTTGGAGAAATTTGGACATGTATTTGTGCTTCGGCTGCAGGTATTAGATGTTTCTTCCATATTTCTTAAATTCAGACTCCTTTGCCCTATACAGGCACTAATAAATACTTCTTTTCATGCATGGGTTATGTTAAGGCAGCTACTCTTCTCGCCCCAGTGAATGAGGTACTTCATCGGAACATATTTTGCTTTCTACTCTGTTTGCTGAGAGCAGTGGGAGTGGTTGCTCAAATTAATTATTTGTTTTTGTTGACATGGAGACATGCCAAGATTTTTCTTCTTTGAGTTCCATGAGCCCTCATCTCAGCTTGGGGTGGGTAGATGGAGAACAACATGGTTGCAGGAAATTAAGGAAAGCCAGGATTCTTGGAGCCTAAACTCCTTAGGGGGCTTCGACAGTGTTTTACTCCTTGCTATTTAAAAAATACACTATGTTATATCTGCCAGTTTTGCTTTAAAAGAATGTCAGTATAAATCTGGAAAGAGAAGGCCCAAACACGAAAGTCAAGTAAATTTCAATTTGAGAGCCAAGCAGTGCCTAACTGCTCCAAGTCCTTTATTCATATAATTCCTTCAGATGTGGACAAGTGAAAGGGAATCAGGTACATTCCAACAGGTGATCGAAATACCACCGTTTGCCACTCTTGAATGCAGCTGGCCACTCAGATAGCATATTCTTTCCTGTCTAAAAATTGCAGAATACTGAGAGATTTAAGCCATTCAGAAAAGCAGATAAAATAGAGGGTAAATCTAGTTTTTTAGAAGCCAATTAAATTTGAGGGCCATTGTCTTAAACAAGCTCACTCTTTCACACAAATTAGTAAGCACCTGGAAGTTCTGAAGTGTTGCCATTAAATACCTTTCTCAGTTCTGAAGTGTTGCCATTAAATACCTTCTCAGCTCCACATCTTTGCTTTTAAAAACCCTATCAGTTGCCTAATTGTATTCAGCATATATTTTGGAAAATATAAAATTATTTTAAATCTGGTCTTTAGGGCATGACTACTATTAAAAATTTGAGATACATCCTTCCAACCTTCTTATTTCCTCAACGAATGTGATAGATAGATGATAGGTATGTATGTATAGACAGCTTATTTTAAAATTTTACTTTATTATTACATGTCTGCAGTGCAGAAAGTTTACACCCATCGTGGGAAGTAGGTGCCTGTACATAACATCTTGATACTCTTTTTACAGCTTCCCCTTTTCTCCCGCCTCCCTCCCTGTCTCTAGATCCCTTTCCCCATGTTCATCATTGTTGTTATTATTGCTATTGCTATGGTTAAGGCATGTAATGTTCACATCCAGTGTGGGTATTTGGTACATGTGTATGACACATTTTAAATCTTTTTATATTTCCTCCACCCTATTAGTCTCTTAGAACCCTTCTCATTTGTAAAGGATCTTATCTATTTCCTTTTATTAGTGTTTTCTTTTGCTCTTTATTTTCACTTTAAATTTTTCATTTTTCAAATGAAAGTACCCAGATGGCATTTAAGCTTGTGTATCTGATTTATTTTATGTTTTCCAAGTGCATCCATTTTCCTACAAATGTCTTGAATTTCTCCTTCTTTAGGAGAAATTGTTTTTATAATGATTCACCTAGCCATTGGACATTCACCTAACATAGTGAATTTGGATCACATCAACAGATTTTCTCTTACTCCTACAAAGATGTGCTAAGACACGTTAGTTTTATCTTAATGTGTTACATTACATTATGTAACACGTTATGTATAGGCATATTTTCTCACAAAATAATCTAAGTAAAATACTGTTTTTCAGTTAATGTATTGATATTTGAGTTTTAAAAAAGGAAGTTGAGCTATATTATGGTTATAAAATTTTGTGTTTTTTTCAATTATAATAAGCATTTTAGCATATAACTTCTTCAAAATAATAATACATTATTTTAAAAAGTGATTTTTTAATGGCTTCATAACATTCCATCATGTAAAAGTACTATAATTTAGCCACACCTTAAAGGTCCTTCCTTATAAGTAATAATTTGATGAACATCATACCAAGATCAGCTTGCTAAAATCTATACTGACTTGGTCCCTGGAATGTGTCTGTAGCATTGGGATTATTTGGTCAAAAATACTTATGGCAAGGCAGGGAATGTGGCTCCATGGAATAAGCACTTCCCTGGCAAGTGCAAGGGCCTGAGTTCAATCCCCGGTTCCGCCAAGGTAAAATTTAAAAAAAAAAAAAAGTACTGTGGCAAACCAATCTCAAAAATGGATTTTTCCAAGATCTCTTCATTAGCATATATTTTGACAGGAAGAGAAAAATGATGTACTTATATTATATTACTTAATTGTTAGAAAAATTTGAGATTTTTCCATAGCCTTACCATTTTTCTTCTTGATATTTTTCATCAGATTTCCTTTAGAAACTTAAACATTTTTCCTTCCCTTATTTTAAATGATACTTGCATATTAAAGGTATTAGCCATTGTCTGAAGTATGTTTTTGAAACATTTTTTTTCCTAGTTTGTGACTCCCATCTAATTTTCTTAGAGGCACATGGACATTTTAATGTATTTTCTCTTTTATGAGAAAAGGAAACTATTCAGTCAAATAAGTGTAATAGTTATTACCCTGTGTATTTTTATCTTCAGAGTAGTTACTCAGTACATAACAAACCAAAAAGATTCTTACAGAAAAAAACGAATAATGACGAAAATTTTCTTTTCAATTAACTAAGATAAATTATTATTATAAGTGAAACAAATTAGCATATATAGACATTTTTAAAATGTTATATTACAGGGATACATGCATACCTACCCTTCTAGTAGCACAATTTAATAAACTTCAAAATTCAGTTTTTTGAGAAATTTTCCTAATTGTATTTTGTTTAGAGTCTAATTGTATAGCTCCAAATAATGCTCATACCCCCTTGTATATTCACAACTTTTAAAATTATATTTTTCATTCATTTTTTTTTGATCTGACAATATTTTTAGCTCATTATGTGAAATAAAGACTTATCTTTATTTTTCTCCACATATGGCTTTTTCCAATGACCTTTGTGAAAAATAATCATTTCTAGTTATGTAATCTATATTGTAATCTTTTAGTGGTAAAGCAGATTACATTCAGGGCTGCCACACTGACTGCATCTCCAGCCCTTTCAATTAATTAATTAGCTAGTTAATTAATTAAGTTTCGGAGGCGAGGTCTCATTAAGTCATTCAGGCTGGAGAAACTCGCTATCTTCCTGCCACAGGCTCTGGTGTCAGTGAGGCTGCGGGCATGCAGCACAGCCCCAGATAGGCGACGCTCTCGCATCTGCCTCTGCTGTTTCTTCAACCTGAATGGAAGCAGTAGTAGATCCCATTTCATACGCTCACTATGAGTTTAGGGATCTTTTTCTTTGTAATTATGCCTTCCAAATATTTTTCGAAGGCTGGGGAGATAGCTCAGAATAAGCGCTTGCCTGGCAAGCACAGGCCCCTGAGTTCAATGCCCAGAACTGCAAAAATAAATAAATAAATAAATAAA